GAATTATCTTTTGAGGGCATAATCATTTGCAATGTATCTTTCTTGTTTTAAGTTAATATGAGTCTATTTACCTTGATAATGTATTAGTATATGTTGAAATGGTTGAGTTTTGAATTGCTATTTTTCTCATGTTTTAGCTTTTTTTCCTCACATTTACTTGCAAGAACATAGTTTCTTAAACTTATTTGGTGTTGGACACCAAGTTGTGAGCTCACCAAGTTGTTTGTATAAGAACATGAATGTTAGGAATTTGTTCAAACTGGCCCTTGTGCTTAATTTGAGCAAACTTCATGGAAACTAATCCATTTTAAGACTCCAAGAAACAACCTTCTCAAGGCTTGTACAAAATTTCATTAACAGATAGAACAACTAATTAGCAAGAAAAATGCTTCCCAGATACACAAACCAATTCATATGGTCTCATTTGACAAATCAAAAGAAGAAAAAAATACAAAATAAAATAATGAATTTCATAGATTACCAGAAAAATTTTGGTCAGGAGCACTAATAGGTGCTTCAGTTTGTGATTTACATACCATTTCAAACCCAAAAAAGAAATCATACAAGCATTAGAACAAGTAACATGGGGTTTGTGATTTACATACCATTTCAAAACCAAAAAGAAATCATACAAGTATTAGAACAAGTTACATTGGGGAAGAAAAATCATGTACTGGCACACGGCGGGCCTCGTCTGGGCTTGGCCCAAGTCGACCCGCACTCGGACTGTGCCCACGAGCTTGCCGAGCTTCCAAGTGGATAGCCCCTCCACCATCAGCAACGGCGCCCTTCAAGTCACCCCAGACTCCGCCTCCGCCGACTTCAATCTCTTCAATAACTCCGGCCGCGTTCTCCTCCTGCGGAGGTTCAAGCTCTGGCACGACGCCACCGCCCCAGCCGCCTCCTTCAACACCTTAGATTTATTAAGTATAATTAATTTATTTTTGTCATACCTTATTCCCAAAAAAATATAAAAGATTATTCATAATAAGTAGATCTTGTAGTTTATAGTTTATATCTT